GACACTCATGTTCATAGCTGCACTATGTACAATAGCCAAGAAGTGGAAGCAGTCCAAATGTCCATCAACAGATAAATGGATAAACAAAATGTGGTATATCTAATGTATTATTACTCAGCCTTAAAAAGGAAGGAAATCTTGTCATGTCCTACAATGTGGATGAACTTGGACATTATGCTTATTGAAATAAGCCAGTCACAAAAAAGACAATTTCTGTGTGATTCCACTTGAGGTATATAGTCAAATTCATAGAAACAGAAAGTTGAATGGTGGTTACCAGGGACTGGAGGAAGGGGAAAAAAGTTGTTATTTAATCAACATAGAGTTTCAGTTTGTCATGATGAAAATATTCTGAATATCTGTTTCACAGCATGTGAATGGACATGACACTAATGAACTGTACACTCAAAAATGGTAAAGGTGGCAAATTTTATGTTTTTTTACTGCAATAAAAATTGCAATAGTGTTTTTTATAACAGGAAAACTATAGATGCAAAAATCCTTAAAAATTACCAACAAGCTGAATTCAGCAGCAAAGGATTATATACCATAACCAACATATAAAAATTAGTCAATGGTGATAGACCATATTAATAAAAAAAAAGGAGGAGGGAGGTGAAAGACCATATGGTCATCTCAGTAGATAAATAGAAAGCATTTGACAAATCCAACTTTTTTGTTGTTGTTGTTAAAAAATAAGGAATAGAACTTCCTCAACCTGATAAAGGCAGCTACAAAAAAACCCACAGCTGTCATAACAGTAAAAGACAAAGCTTTTCTAAGATCAGGAACAAGAAAAGGATGTCTGCTCTCACCACTTCTATTCAACATTGTACTGGAAGTACTAGCTGGAGCAGTTAGACAAGAAAAAGAAATTAAAAGCATCCAGACTGGGAAAAAAGTAAAATTACCTTTATTTGCAGATGACACGATTTTGTATACAGAAAATCCTTAGGAATCCACAGAAGAACTATTTTAGCTAATAAACTTAGCAAGGTTGCAGGATACGAGAATTAGGAATAAACTTGGAACGACCACCTAAAAATGAAATAAAGTAATTTCATTTATAATAGCACCAAAAAATAATAAAATACTTAAGAATATATTTAAACAAAAAAAAGTATAATATTTATACACTGAAAACTACAAAATATTGAAAGAAATTAAGAAGGCCCAAATAAATGAGATATCCAATGTCGTGGATTGGAAAAGTTAATATTTAGATGGCAATCCTGTCTAAATTGTTCTTCAGATTCAATGAAAACCCTAACCCTGATATATATACACACACACACACACACACACACACATTTTTATTTGCAGAAATTGACAGGCTGATCTCTAAAGTCTTATAGAAATCCAGGGGACCTTAAAATAGTCAAAACAATCTTGAGAAAGAACAATGAAGTCGGAGGGCTCAAAGTCCCCGTTTAAAACTTGTTTCAAAGCTACAGTAATCAAGGCACTGTGATACTGGCATAAAGGTAGACATATAGATCAGTGAAATAGAATTGAGTCAGAAAGAAACCCATACATCTGTGAATTTATTTTCAACATGGGAGCCAAGATAATCCAAGGAGAAAGCATAGCACCATTCAATAAATGATGCTGGAACACGTGTAAAAAATGAAGTTGGATTCCTACCTCATGCTGTATAAAATTAACTCAAAATGGATCAAATGTAACAGCTAAAATTATAAAACTCTTAGAAGAAAACATAGGAATAAATTTTCATTGTCTTGGATTTGGCAAGTAGATTCTTAGAAATGACACCATTAGCACAAGCATTAAAATATATATAAATTAGACTTCATCAAAATTAAAAGCTTTTTTACATCAAAGTGAAAAAACAACCTACAGAATGGGAGAAAATATTTGCAAATCACACATCTGATAAGACTTTAGTATGCAGAATATAAAATCAACAACAAAAAGATAACCCATGTTTTGAAGGGGCAAAGGATTTGAATAGGCATTTCTCCAAAGGAGATGTACACATGACCAGTAAGCACATGAGAAGATGCTAAACCTCATTAGTCATTAGTGCTATGCAAATCAAAATCGTAATAACACTTCATACCACTAGGATGGCTATAATTTTTTTTTTTTTAAGGAAAATAGTAAATGTTGGGTAGAATGTGGAGAAACAAACCCTCATACATTACTGGTGAAAAGGTAAGGTGGCGCAGTCAGTGTGAAAAACAGTTTGGCAGTTTCTGAAGAAGTTAGTTACCACATGACCCAGCAATTCCACTCCTAAATATATACCCAAGAGAATTGGAAACATATATTCACATAAAATCGTGTATATGAATGTGACAGCATTGTCCATAATAGCCAAAAAGTGAAAACAACTTAAATGTCCATCAACTGATGAGTGCATAAACAAACTATAATACATCTACCCATTAGATTATTATTCAGCTATAAACTAGAATGAAATACTGATACACACTACATGTACAGCATGAGTGAACCTTGAAAATGTGCTTGGTGAAAGAAGCCACATATTATATGATTCCATTTATATGAAATGCCCAGAACAGGCAAATCCAAAGAGAAAGTAGATCAATGGTTGTCAGGGGGTGGGGAGAGAGAAGAATGAGTAGTGACTACTGTTGGGTATGGAGTGTCTATGTGGGGAGATGAAACTGTCCTGGAATTAGAAAGTGGTTTCACAACCTCATGAAGCTACTAAAAAACTACTGAATTGTACACCTAAAATAGTGACTTCTATATCTGAATTATATTTGTTTTTAAAAAGTCATAGTCAAGCTTGACAGTTGCTTTAACTGGAGATACTAACCATACCATTCTGAAGATGAGAGAAAAAGACATTGTAGGGGTGTTGGGCTTAAAAAATAAACAAAACAAATATTCATGATCATAAGAACTAGAATTTGTTGAATTGTATCCTAGAACTGGAACTCCATCTAACTTGCCATATGGACCACTATCTAATTTCAGATCTAGTATTTTAACTCTTCCAGAACAAAGAGATGAAGAGTAATCTAGGATAATCAAATTAAAGCAGAAAAGAGACTTATTTGAACTGTGCCTCTTCTGGCCTGAGTTGGAAGGAACAGCTTAGAAGGCAAAGGAGTTGTGTCATGAAAGGGAAAGATAACATTCTTGACACACAAATCTTTTTCCATATAATATTTTTTCAGATACACAGATGTTCCTGAAATGTTGATCCCCCTGGCAGCTCGGCAGGGCCTGGGCCACAGATCCACCACCCCAGGCAGCAGTGTCTCATTAACCCGCTGTGTGTAGTACACATTTCCCTTTTTCCATGTGCTATGAAATGAAATGGTAGGGAAGAAGCACAGCTCTTAGGGTCATTTCTTTTAGGCTCTCCCCACCATCCTCTACTGAACACTCCTAATTGTCGTTGCCCCTCTTAAAATGTGTCAGTTACTTTTCAGAGATCTGTAGAGCACCTCCCAGGTGTACCTAGCTAGGAAACAACAAGGATAATTTGGTATAATTATAAAATGTTTCTACAGAGAGAGAATGCATAAATGTTATATTTTTATTTTCTAAGTACTTAACAAATTGAATATTAAATTCCAGGCTGGAATTTTGTTAGAGATTGATGTCAAACTTTATCGAATTATAAATTCAAGAAACAAGCTTTTGCCTAGCTTCTAACATCTACTCTTAAATCTTCTGACATCTCTATAATTACTAATTTCTGAAAGATTGTTTTCATGGTCATTTCCGCAGGTTCTTTCAACAACCTGAGATTTCTCTGCAGATGAGAATACATTTAGAGGGTCTTCCAGTACCCTCACATTATTCTCTAACTTAACTGGGACCTATAAAATGTGCTAGCTGTTGGAGCAAGAAAATAGACAGGAAACCTTTGTGTGGTTGAGATGTGAACAAATAACAGAGAGAAGATCTACGTGTATATTTATCCCTTTGTTTTCACGCTGTTTAGAATTCAGTCTTCCAGTTTGAAATGGGTAGAGTATGTTTTGCTTTAGAGGTAACTTTTAACTTCCTTTTTCTTTTAATAGATGCTTTACCATCCTAATTGTGACCAAGTATCATATGTAGATCCATTTCTATTGCCCTTTGTTAGGAAATATATTTTGCTGGAAATATATTTGGTAAGAAATGCATACTGATTAGATAATTCTACTTTTGACCTAATTAAAGAACATTTCCAGATTGTTAACCTAATTTCCTATACATATAAGTAGAGGTAATACTTTATATCTTTAAAAGATCTAATTGCTGCTTTTTTTGGTTTTTAGTATTGATAACTACTAAAGATCAATACTTTTAAGTTGGGGGATGTAAGTTTGTCTCACAAATTGGTTCATGTTTATCATGTCTACAAACTCATTTTGACTCATTTTCAGTTTGGGTATCCATTCTGGATTGGTTCTTATAAAGTTAGTGGTGTTCAGACTTAAAGAGTGAATTAGTACTGCTGATGAAATGAGAAAAATCTAGACACATAGAACATTGTTTTTCTGGTAAAGTACTGCCACACCCCCATCAGACATGGGGCATGTTTCTCCCCAACCAAGGGTCCATTCTACATGAGTTAGTTGCTGGGTCTCTTTTGGCCTAACTGGACTAGGTCTCCTTAGACCCCCATTTGAAATCATTGCTCCTTTTTAAAATATTTGTAAGTTCTGAGACTTTTTAAAAATGTCCCTAAATGCTTTCAGAAGTAACACTATATAATAAGATATTTCATATGCTTTTTGTGACCTTTACTCATGGTATGTTCTTTACCAGAATGTCTAGAAGTATGCAGATTGTCTATTTGCCAGGTGTTCCCTAGTACACATGATAGTAAATTCTTGAAGAATATCGTGTATTTAAGAATTAAGAACATTTTTACTCACAAGTACTAAAGAGCTGTAAATTGAAAGATTTTCAGAATACATTTTGGAAATACTGAAAATGACTGTGGAAGTGATACCTATGGTTTAAAAACAAATTAGAACATTTTAATTAGTAATCTTTATTTCCTTTAGGGTTTAATGAAGAAATTCATTCGATGTTCTACACGTGTAACTGTGGGAACTATTAAAAAATTTCTAAGTTTAAAATTAAAACTTCCAAGTTCTTATGAGGTAAGTTAATAAACTAACCTTGATCATTTTGATAATTCTGATCTGAAGTAAAATTCTAACAAAATAAGTAAAAATTAACTGAGAACACATTTGAATTAAAATTTGTGGAACTTAGGTTATTTTCATGTTAACAATTTAATTTTTAGAATGTAATATTCTATTTATGTAATCTGTATTTTGAATTCAGTATCATGACTAAAACATGATATTAATGCAATTAGTGTTTTATAATTAGAGGATATATTTAAATAACATTAAGTATCTTCAAAATAAATATTTCAGTTAAATGGATTCTTTTTTATGCCAACACGCTTTAGGGTATATCTTTTTGTGTGTTTTTGAGACCTTTGCAGTTCATTTTTGCTAATTCTTTAAAGACTTTTTTAGAATGTAAAACATTTTTTTTTTCAAAAGGGATTTTTACAAGTAATGTTCCTTTAAGTCCATGATATGCAAAAGTGATATTTTTTAGCACTAGGTAAAACCTAATTTTTGTTTTAGTATTGCATTTACCAATTTCTTTACAGGAGAGATAAATTACCCTGATGTTCATCACAGCACAGCTTATAATGTGTTCAGTGTTTAGAGAACATTTATGATCCTAGGAGTATGACTATGACATGATGAGAAAACATGGCTATTTCTCACCTGCCCAAATAGCACTATTACAGCTTGTATTAAGTAACTCTTCCTCGCCTTTGGGTTCTGATAATAGCGTTCAAAAAAAAAAAAAAAACCTAAAAAAAGAAAACCAAGACTAGTTTCCTAAAAAAATGGCACCATTAATTTTTCAGGCTATGTACAGTAATGCCAATATGAACAGTCATCATAGCAGAAATGAAATAGGATTTGAACATAGACATTGATAGGTATTAAGTCTGTATTTTGAGGAAGCCTTTGATCCTGAACTTACTTTAAAAAATTCTCTCAAATGACTAATTATGGATTAAAAATTCTTATTATGGTTTGGTATTACAAATATAAACTTCCTAAATATCAGCTTTTATATTAGGAAAAAAATTGTGCAAGTTAAAGTCCTAGGTACTTGGTAAAAGTAAAGGGTAGTAAGAATTTATAGATACAACAGTGAAAATAGAAAATAAAATTGTTTTTAAGATTTGATTTTGTGCTTTATTCCCTTACAGGATACCACATGCAATTTTATTTCCTTACTTTTAAGCGTGACTCATTATTTTCTGGTTTTCACGAAGTTGCTAGAGTTTAGAGAACTTTTACTCTCATATAGTGTTAATGTTGGCATATGTTATATTTCTCTATAGGAAAAGATAGAAGGGGAAGAGATTCAATCCACTGACAGCTCCTCATCTGTTCCAATGCAAAGAACTTTTTCTATAATTTTTAGTATATTTACTCATCCCCAACAAGTAGAGGGATGATTTAATGAAATGCCTGACAGCCAAAGAGTCTGTTAACAGTATCGCTAATTGTGTCAGGATAGTTTAGTTTTTAAATAACAGTAATAGAAGCAGTGTGCTTGATTAGGAATTGCATCCTGAGTAAGTCCCTTTATCTTTGCTTATATTTTTGGGGCAGGATGAAGAAAATGAAATTATCTAGTTTGTTCCTTTAAAAATAAAGTGTCTGAAAAACATTTTGAGATCCATATACGTCACCATAAATCATCAGAAAAATCAATATAATTTAGCTAATAATTTGTCTAATACAATTAGAATTATACTCATTTTAGACTTAAAGTTCAAAACTCCAGTCTCTGTCTAGCCAAACACAGAATTCTTTAAAACCTGTTCTTCCCTCTTTCCACCCTTTAAATTAAATCCTATCAATTTGCTTTTAATGGCTAGAGAACCAAAATATTCATAGGGATACGTGATAAACATTTAATTATGCTTTGTTGAATTAGTAAATCATAGCCACAGTTCCTGTGGCCTTCTTAAGGATTTGGGGGTGGTTTGGTTCCTGCAACACTAGAGCAAAAGTGAGCATTGATAAGTACAACCTTTTTTTGAAGTTCTGTGCAAGGTAACAAGATGGTCCTATAATAATGCAAGTTACCAACCAAGCAGAGAGGCCAGAGAGCCCTGCGAGACATAGGCTGGTGGCATGGTCCTAATTGTGCTGTCACCTTAGCTATAGGCAATTAACAGATATTCTCATATGCCTCTAAGGCTCCATAAATCACATATTCACATTCATTCATTTACCCTCTTCAAATACAAGTTAATGAGAGAAAAATAACTCCTTCAAATCTTGGAAAGGTGAAAGGATTCTGAGAGACGAATCCATAAGGCAAAAAGTGCTATGAGGCACTGTGAAGTTTCCAGTTTCTTCTCATTCGATAAGAGTGTCTAAAATCTCAAAGGTTGCACAGAGATATGGACTAAGAAGATATACATTGCATTTCAAAATCATGTGTATGAACTTTAGATAAAGGTATGTGGGACAAGATAAACAGTGCTTCATGGTACTTATATCTGAATTACTCAACATAAGATAGACCAGTGATTTTAATAAAAATACTGTTTTTAATGAACAATTCTATTTTGTTATAACTATTTGAATCTTTCTTGAAATTTAAAAAACATGCAAAACACTTATGAATTAAAAATTACTTACATTAATAGGTCTGTAACTATTCTTTTTAAAGTTGGATGTGCTGTGCAATGGTGAAATTATGGGGAAGGATCATACTATGGAATTCATCTACATGACAAGATGGCGACTAAGAGGCGAAAACGTAAATTGCTTTTATATTTACCTATGTGTATATTTAGTTATATGTTATTCAAATTTAACAGTATTACTTAGAACTAAAAGAACTAGCTTGGGAAAGAGAAGAAACTGGTCTTATTGTTTCTCCCAGCTACTCCATGATAATTGATCACAAGTACAAGACCAAGGTCTGTGTTAAATGTGGTTTTGTTATATTTAAGGTGAGTTAAAACTCCATCTAAATATGTTCAGAGCTCTACTAACCTCAAGACAGAGAAGATGGCACTCACAGTTTTTTTAAATGCCAATAAAAGAACTTTTTAATTATATGAAATGGGGGTGGGGAGACTAAGTTCTGTCCTGACTAGTACATTTAATGGTTAAGACATTTTTTGGTTACAGTAGAAGGGACAGATAGAGTAGAATTTAAATAATTTTTTTTTCAGGTACCTATTTTACTTTGAAAGTATAAAACTGGACTGAAGGGTTGAATGAGTTTACTGTGGTTTCTGATGCCAAATTATTTTTGCCTTAGGCCCTAGGCAATATAGAAAAAATGATTAAAAGGAGAATTTTATATTTCGAACTGTATCTTCGATTAGACTTAATTAGAAGGTTCAAATATATCTTATATGAGTTATATGTAACATTGATATCAAGGAAATTTCAGAGGCTAAGGATTATAAGGCTGATATATAGCAGTAAGGAATATAGTAGTAACACTATCAGAAATTCTCTTCATAATCTGATTACATGAATTATATTAAGATTGACTGGAAGGTTGGACTAAGTGGCCTCCAGGGTCATTTTAAACATTAAGATTTTGTGGTATTAGGGGACTTATATTGCATGTAAACATCTATGGATGAAATCTCAAAATCTTTTTTTGGGTGTGCCATTCAGTGGGTAGGATATTGGCTATTTTTCAGAGGAAGTATCTTGATATAACAATAAACAAAGCACCTAGTTTCTTCGTTTTTTTCTACTTGAATTCCTCTTGGATAAAGCCTTACTCATGAATCTGAACTCTCATGAACAGGAAGAAAAAATTATGTTCTAGTACCAGTCACTAACTAGTTACGTTCCCTTGAAGAACTCATTAAACCTCCCTAGGGCTTTTAAAAAATAACGTAATTGTCTTTGTATTTGGTAAATTACTACTTACCTTTTTGTGACATTTTCTATTTTTTTAAATGGTTGTGCATATATCACCCTCATTTAATCCCTCCAACCAAAATGTTTCAGATACCAGGTACAGAGATTGTCAATTCTCTGTTACCCAGCACTGTTGGGGTCTAGTATTGTGATATTACACATAATATTAACATCGTATTGATATAATTTGTGTTCCTTGATAGTTCTTTGGGCATTTTAGTATGTACTTGAAATCATTATGAATAGGTTTGCCTGAAGATTGAAGAGATGTAGTCATCTGCAAGACCTCTGCTAGCTCTTACTTGTCCTTCACAAGATCAGTTTCCTCCCCAAAGGTTACCCACATGGCCAGTTATTTTAATGTCAAAACATTAAGAGTGAATTCATAGACATTGTTATTAATTGACCTTCAGTTAGGTCAGTCTTTACTACAATTATGTTTCTGATTATACGTTCCTTAATAGTTTAAATTCCTTAGTTTGAGGCATGTTTTAATAAAAGTCGGTTCGAAAATTGGTTGTGTCATATGATTTTTCATTCAGGTAAAAACTAAACAATAGAAAAATTACCACATTTTATAGTTAGTGCAACAGTAATCTATCAGCCTATTTCATTTTTTCAGCATAACAAACATGGGTTTTGTTTGTTCCCCTCCTCCAACCTGTTTCTCACCCAGTCTTCACAATCTCAATAGTTCCAAGATTAGTAGTTCCATTTTTCTGATTCCTCAGAACAAAATCTATGAAGTCAGTCCTGATATGTTTTTCTTTTATCTGTCCTTAGCATTCTGTGACATCTATACTATACATACACTATATACCACACAAAATACCATAATTAGAATCCTGTTATGTCTTACCACCTCTACTTCTACTGCTCTGATCCAGGCCACTGTCGCTGTTCTCCAGAATGTCTCAGAGTCTCCTACCTGCGCTCGATGCTTCTGCTCCTGCCCGCCCCCATCTTTGCCCAGCACAGCAGCCAGAGTGATCTTAAAACAAGTTAGAACATGTCACTTCTCCACTTTAAGCTCTCTAGTAACACCTAATATCATTTAGATAAAAGTTAAAGTCCTTCCAGGGACCTATAGATACAGACCCCACACGATTTTCCCCAGACACTTCTCTGACCTTACCCCTTCCTCTCTCCCTCTTGCCCACTCCACTCTGGCCTCACTGGCTGTGTTTTCTCTAACACAGCAGGCTTACTCTGGCCTCCCCAAATATCCACCTGACTTGCTCCCTTTACCCCCATTGCTCAAATAGTTTTGCTTCTATATCACCCTCTCCCACTCCAACTGTTTTCCATAGCATTTCATACTGCTATCTGACATACTGTGCCTTTTGTTTATTGTTTGTACCCCAATTGAAATGTAATCTGAGGGCAGGGATTATATCTGTTCTCTGCTGAGTTTCAGCAACAAGATCAGTGCCTAGTGCAGATAATAAATATTTGAAGACTAAATTGAATGAAAACTCTTGTCTTTTATAAGGTAATAGTTATGCAAAATATATCCTAAAGATCATTTTATTTGAACCTCAATTTCCCAATTGTTTTAAGCAAATTTTAAATTTCTGCACTTGTTCCAATTATGAGTTAAAATAGTAATTGATGAATTTCGACAATTGTAGTGAATGGACAAATTAGCAATAAAACAATCATTTCTTGATTAGGCCCGTACTAGCATTTGTTGCAGTCACATACCTTCCCATCTCTTCCTTCCATTGCCAGCAAGATGCCAGGATGTCTGAAAAGCTCACATCACCTCCTGGCATTGCTAACTGGTTGTGCTTAGGGCTGGGATCAGCTTATTTCCTAAACTAATATCTACCTTGTGATTCTTTTGCTTGCTTCTAGTACATTTTTATATTAAACATTTTAATACACCTAGAATTTGTTTATTTACGTACACACACCTACAACAAGGCTAAGACTCTAAATCTTTTTTTTTTTTTTTGCCAGAAATACAATTTACTGAATAATCTATACTTTACTTCATTGTTTTGAGATGTCACCATTAGCTATGCATATGTATCTCTATGTACACACACACACACACACACACACACACGTTCAATGTCACCATTAGCTATGCATATGTATCTCTATGTATACACACACACACACGTTCGTGGACATTGTATTTTGTTCTTCTGAGCGAGTTTTATCCCTACTCCAGCACTACACATTATATAGCTTTTATAAAAATTTGATAACATATCACCACTATCTAAAACCCCTCAATTGTCCATTTTCTTCATTCGATAAATTCGAATGAAGTCCAAACTAACTTATAAGACAAATAATTGGGCCTTCTAGTTTGCTTTATGATGTGTATTAACATCTGTTAGGGAAAAGCTGTTTCTTATTCTTTCCAAAATTGTGTTGGTTGGTTTTACCCATTTGTTTTTTCAAATGAGTTTGAGACTAGGACTGATTGGCATTGGATTAAATTTCTAGGTTGCTTTGGCACCTTTGCAGTTTTTTATTCTGTTCAGTGCTGTGAGCCATCTCCTCATGTTCTGCGTTCTTCTGGGTCTCTGAGTAAAGTCTGTTTTTTCTTCCCTCCACATGTTGCATACCGCCTCTGCCCCTCTGGGTCTTTTGCCTCATGCAAAGCCACTGTATCAGCCACCTCTTCACCTTCTGTTTGTAGACTCTTAGGAATAATCTCTGGGAAATCGATTTTGCCTCCATTTCTTAAGAGCAGGGGTAGGGCTCCCTGTACCAAACAGCATCTGTACCACTCATTTCCTTTAGCCTGAGGCAATTCCACTTCAGGCTCAGCTTATTTGCTATGGTCTCTGCTCTTTCTGGATCCTTATCTTCATTGTGACACATTTTTGAAAGATTTTTATCTTTAGGAATCAAATATGTGGTCAGACTTAGCTGACTCTCAGAAATGTTTCAGTTCATAATGGTATTGCTGCCTCCAGATTGTTAAACTCAAGACTGTCATCCTCAAGATTGGCTTATTAATGTTGGTTCATCTTTTGCTTATTAGTAGGAGAAAATGGACTTTTTATTTAAACCGATGCATCTCAAACTTTAATATGAATAAATCACCTGGGGATCTTGGTAAAATAAAGATCCCAACTCAGTAAGTCTGGGGTGGGGCCAAGATTCTCTGCATTTAAAAAAAATTTTATTATTAGTTTCGAGTATACAGTACATTGGTTAGACATTTATATAGTTTATGAAACGATCCCCCTGGTTCTTCTTTTTCTCCTCTGGCTCTGCATTTTTAACATGCTCCCAGGGGATGCCAGTGCATCTGACCTTTGGACCACACTTTGAGTAATAGGATTTTAGAAGATGTGATCCACAACCACTGGCTTGCCCTGTGGCTTCCACATCCCTAAATTTGGGGTTCAGAATTACAGAATTAGATCTCAGTGTGGAAGGAACTTAGTTGTCTAGACTAACCAGCAATCTAATACATGAACTCTGTTTATATTATCCATGCAGTGTTCATCACATTTTTTGAAACAAATGGAATCATGTATTGTTCTGCAACATTTTTTCTCATTTGCTAATATGTCTTATGGGGAATCAGTAAAGTTTGTGTGGCTATACCATAATTTGATTAATACTTCCCCTTTGGTGGGCATTTAGATTTTTTTCAAGTTTTTGACATTACAAGCAGTGCAATACAATTCCAGTACATGTAATTTTTTGCACATGTGCAAGCATATTCATTGGCTAGGTTCCAAATGTGTATTTATAACAGTATGCATGTTTTAAATTTTGATAGGTACTAACAAATTGTCCTCTAATAAAAAGGTTTTAGCATTTTATTTATAATCATGCCAGTAAGGTATGAATGTACATTTTCTGACGTCCTCAACCAACACTGCATATTATCAGTTTTGTATTTCTTCTGTGAAGTTTCTTTTCATATCCATTGCTTGCCTTTTTTTCCCATGTGATGTTTGTCTTTCTTACTGACTCCTAGCTGCTCTTTATGTATTCTGGATACTAATCTTTTGTTATATATATTGCAGCTATTTCCTCCCAATTGTGTCCTGCTTCCTAATTTTGCCTCAGGTTTTTGATCATTAAAATTTGGATACCTAAACTTATCTTGAAAATTTTTAGTAAGATTTTTTTAAAAATATTAAAATACTTAGCAGAGTGCCTGACACAGTTATTTTATTAATAGCATATGTATGTTAGCTTTTATTATTATAATTCTCTCCTACACTTATTCTCATCCGAGAGCTTACTGTTCGCCTTCAGCTTTCATCATGAGCTCATGGTCTTTCTGCTCATCTTTCTTTGGATATGTTGAGTACCCACTCTCAGTACAGCCTCTTTCCCAGATGAACCTGGTTGGTTTTATCTTCCAGCAACCCCTGCCAGCCCATATCTAAAGTTGCGTCACCATGTTTGTCTTGCTTTGCTTTAATTATCAAGCAGTTTTAGGAAAAGCAAATATCTTGACTGATACCAAAGAGATGAATGAGGGGAAAAATTACTTTATGAAATTGCCTCTTTCCACCTTAACTCTTTACTCTTATTAAATGCTATTTGGGACTTGAATAGTTAGGCAAAGTCTGAAAGGCAGAGTTTGGGGACTCTTCAGAGAGAAAGGGAAGGTTGCCAAGGATGGCAGTGCTGAGCATGTCTTAACAGTGTTTGATGAGCCCTGTGCAGAAATTCAAGTACTAACTTCTAGAAAAAGACTTGCTAAAGTCTTTGAGGAAATGGGAAATTTCTAAACTTTTATTTTAAAAGTTGCCAACATATTTGTTTTAATCGTTGCTTACTTAAGTATTCTTTCAAAGCATATCTTTTAAAAAACTGTTCTGGATATTAGATTTATTTTAGTTAATTTATACATCACATATTTTCCTGTATTTTTTTTCCATTTTGCAGAGGCATGCAGTGTTGAATTCACATATGCATAATTATGTTTAGCATATATTGAGAAATCAAGAGTTTAGGAATGATTTTTTAATATGAATGGTTAAACTGTTAAAAGTGAGTTTGCAAACGAAACTACTCAGTTTTGAAATATTTTCATTCATTGATATACTCATAAACATTTTTTGAGTGGCTGCTGTATGCCAGTTCTGCTATTAAGACTGAAAATATGAATAAGATGTAGACTCAAGTTGCTCACACTGATGGTATTAAAATAGACAGGGAGACTAAGAATCTAACTTGAGCAATTGAAAGAATATAATCTAAAACAGCTAACGGATTCCTTATAGGTTGAAGCAAGTTTCATGCCCCTCTCAGAGCCCTGAGATCCTTAAACAGTGTTACTTTCAGGAGGTAGCTAAAGAAGAGATGTAGAAGAGATTCATCACAGGAAGTGATGGAAAAAGAGGCTGCCCCTCTTAGATTGAAGAGGCGAGGGTTTTCCCAGGAATTATTAGTATTTGATGAGAAGATGGAAAGAATAGGCCACCATTGTGGTAAAATATTTGCAGATAAACAAAACCCCTATTTAGATACTAAAATTATTTCAAGCTAAATTTTACCAGTCACTAAGTTGTTAATTTTTTAAAAAACAACTACCATATTTTAGAAAGTGTTTACTTAAAATTAATCATGTTGACTCATGTTTGACGTTAAAATATTTTAAATAATCAGTTTGAAATATGTATCCAGTTGTGGATGCCTCTTATCTGATGAGTTCATCTCCTCCGCAGTTTCGGTGTCTGAACTGCTCAGCTTCGCAAGTCTGCTCTCAGGATGGCCCTTTGTATCAGGTAAGAGGCACTCACGACTGTACATATGACCCTCCCGATGCTGCCACGGTGGGGATTGCTTTCATCCCAAAGTCAATTTCCTAAGACATGTAACTTTGCAAAACTAATACTTTGTTAAACTATAGAACTTCATCTTTTCAAATTATGTCCCCAAAGTTTTCCATTATTTTAGTTTTCTTAAAATATCTAACTTTACTAAACTAAAAATGAAATTATGTTAAAGTCATTATTTTTGAGTCAGAAATTTTTAATAATTACCAGTTTTTCAACCCTTGAAAAATCTCTGCTCCTTACTTAACACTTCTTTGTGCAAGTGTTATTTTTTTTAAACTCAATCATTCATCCACAAGTGAAAGATAAAACACCAGACGAGGTGAAACCAACAGCAATAGCTACATGTAATTGTGAGCTTGCTTCCTGGGCCCTGCCCTAAGTACTTCGGTTATCTCTTTTAATACAGAAATAATAATGAACTAATTTGATAATTCATTGAGAAAACTTCAGTGCGAATCTGAGGAAAGTTTAATAGTCATACGATTTAAAAATTGGGGAAACTAGAAAAGACTATGGGTAGTTTATAGGAATTACAGTTGAGTACAGAGATGACTTATGATCAACCTTAATCTAAGGATTAATCATAGCATTTCTTAAAAATCCTATGTTCTTTTATTCTAGAAATTAGTCTTATTTGCTAAGAAAGGAGAGTTGTAATTATCATTTAATGAACTTAACTAGTAATCTTCTGATGTTTTGGAGTTGAGACGAATATATGTTCATTATTAAAAGAACCACTTCAAATCACTAATCAAAAACATTAAATTAGCAGTTCATATAGAATTTCTCTCAGTTTTTATTGTCAGTGCTATGATATTGAAATCCACACACTATCATTAAAATGCATGCTTTTTAATATACACTGATTAAGTACTGGTTTTTTAGCAATAGGGTAGGCAATTTAACTTCTATAAAGGCCAAGAGAAAGTCATTCAGGGGGAAAAAATTATCCTTCTCCTAACATTATGCAGTTAAGATGAGGGGTGAGTAAATAATGTAACTGAGCTGATGAGATCTGTATATATCTTAAGTATACAGATGTTTTAGCTTCACAGATGATTTGGGGATGATGAATTATAGTGATGCCCCTGCCTTTAGCTATAACTCAGACCTATATGCTTTTTGCTTTCACTCTTGGCATTGATGCCTATTTATTTCCTTAGAAATAAAGATGTTCTTAACACTGATGTAAAATATTGGAGAACAACTGGAGTAAAACCAAATTTTCAATAATCCACACAAATTTCCCTTTTTTTCTTAAACACTTCATTATGGTTTATACTCCTGTCAGAAAGTTGTAATTAATAGGTTGCACTGTTAGCCAAATTTCAGCTAGAAAATTTCAAGGAAAATTATCATTTTTTTATTATGTGTATAGCTTTATACTATTAAATTGTTATACTATTAAATTTTTAAATTTTGTGAAAATTCCCTAACATGGGCAGTTTTCTAGGAAAATACCAGTGGACCAAAATTTACCCCAAAAGAAAGAAACTTAAATCACTGAGTAATGAAAGACATAAAAAAAATTATTCAAGAATTATTTCCCCAAAGGATACCTAAATAGTTTTATGGTCACAGTCTCTCAAATTTTCAAGGAATAGATCCTTCCCATTCTAAATTGTTTTAAATCATTGAAAAAAAAAAATGAATTCTTTCAAATTCATTTTATAAAAGTAACTAATCATGGTAGCAAGAACTGACAGAAAACCCCCAATTAGAAAATGTATCAAATTTCATTTTTAATATATAAAGATGATAAGTAATATACTAAATATACTAAAAGAATAAAGCTAGACAAAATAATACTTCTATCAGAAATGCAAGAATGGCTTTATATTGGAGAGAGAAATTATATATTGGAGACATATTATATATAAAAACACATACAAAGTCAAATAGAAATCATAGATGCTGAAAAGGTATTTGATAAAACTTAATGTTAAGTAACACTTTTTCCTATCATCTTCTCATTTTGAAAATTTTCAATACAAAAAGTCGAAGTACAAAGGAATATCCTATACTTTTATGTAGATTTACCAATTAATATTTTGCTACATTTCTGCCCCCATGTTCTCTCCCTCTCTTTTTCCTCTCTCCTAATCTTATTCTCTTTAAAAATATATCTATTGTTTCTTTGTGGAACCGTTTGGAAATAAATTGCAAGTATCATGACAGTAAGCCACTAAATACTTCGGCATGTATTTCCTAAGATCAAAGACGTTCTCATATATAGCCAAAATATCACTTCTTGCACAGGAAATTTAAGTATATGAAATATTAGAGATGTCAATTTTCCCCATAATGAATTTATAAAATTTAATGAGATTCTAAACACATGTTTATCAGTTCCTTGTTTAACTTGACAAAGTTATTCTAAAGTTTATCACCAAATAGAACCTGGCACTCCTGGTCAGCCACATTTTTGAAATGGGTAATGAGAGGGCATGTGTGCTGCCACATACTAAAATGTGTTTTAAAGCTTAATTAAAATAGAATACTAACTTAGACATATGAATAAAAGGAACATATCAAGAATAGACTGTAGTATGTATGAATCTATAAAGAGAATATTTCAAATTAGTGGAGGAAAAAAGATTCATTTAACAAATATCTATCAAGTACTTAACTGGGCACTTTCTTAGGCCCTGAGGACACAGAAGTGAAAATGAAAAACCTTTTCTCTTACAGTGCTACACTCTAATGATGGTAGCAGACAAAAAAAGTAAATAAACTACAGCGTTAGAAGTAAAAAATAATATTTTAGATAAGAATGCCAAGGGAAGACATCTTTGAGGTGGTGACTTTTGATCAAAAAGAAGAGAAATAGCCACGTGTATATCTGGGGTAAGGCACTCCAGGCTGAGGGAACACAGTGCAAAGATCCGGAGGAGTGGTCCTGTCTGGTTGGTTGAAGGTTGCAGGGAGGCTAGTGGGGCTGGAGCAAAGCTAGTCACTGGCAGTTGTCAGGGGAAATCGGTGAACTCAGATGTTGGGGGTGGAGTGTGATCTAGTGTGGTGTGTTTTCAATAAATTGTACTGGAACTATTGGTGGGGCGGCAGGATTCAGTCCATATCTCACATCATGTGAATTTCTCATGGCTTAAATTAATAAATATTAAAAATTATACCATCAAAGACAAAGAAGAAAATATAGTTAAATAACAAATCTGAGTGGGGATGGCCTTTCTCATTGTACATGTAAAAGGAAAAAAAAGACAGTTTACTATTAATACTGAAAAGTACATGGCAAATATACCGTAACTAAAGAAATAATAGCAATATATGACAGAAAGGTTTGATGTCCTTAATACATATAGAATTCATACAAATCTATAAGACAAAGTTTGACTTTCTATAGAAAAATGAACAAAAGACATGATTAGGCAAGTCACAAAAGAAGGAAACAAAACTGGCTAATAAACATACAAAAATAGTTTAGAAGACATGAAAAAATAAAATACTATTTTATGCTTATTAAATTGCCAAATTAAGAGGGAGGAAAGGATAGCACTCATTACTGATGAGGCTGTTGAATAATGAACACTCATATTTCTTTTGAAAGTGTAAAACTAGAACAACTTTAAGTCCACTTTCTTGCCTGAAAGTATTTATCAGAAAGCCTTTTAAAATTTGTATGCTGTTTGAGTCAGCAGTTAGTTCCACTTCTAGGAACCAACCGGGGGGTGGAGGGTAAAGTGGGGAGCAGGGACTAGACAGTAAATCATTGGGTCAAAATTAATTTATAATAGCAAAAAAAAAAAAGGAATAAAACAATAGCAAAAAGATTTATTGATAACTTATGGTTCATTTCTATAAAGGCATTATACACAGCCTTTAATAATGATTACATAGGACCATATTAAGTAGTATAGAAATAAATTTATAGAATTTTTAAATGAGCAAAATTATTCATCAAACAATATGTGCATGATTCCAGTTTTTAAAAAAATTAAGTACATGGACAAAAACCTAGAAGGATATACAATAAAATGATTATGGTGAACATCTTAGGATGGTGGCACTTAAATGACATTCCTTTTTTTCTTGATGCTTTTCTGTATGTTCCACATCTACAATAAAGCCAAGTTACTTCTATGATAAAGAATACATTTTAAGAAAAATAGTACATCAAAGTTAATTTTATCACTTTCTAACATCAAATTTGAAATATACACTTTGAAAATATTCTTTATTTTAGTACATGATGAGGCTTAGGACTAACAACTCTGTGAAATGTAGTTTCATTCATTCAGTCACTTAACACTAAGAGGAGTGATATGCCATATTTCCTTATAGAAAACAAACTGAAACATGAATAGAACTTAAATTTTATCTTAATTTCTGTTATTATAACACATTAACTAAATTATTAAACTTTATATGTTGTCATAGAACACAGTTACTTGGAGGGGAAAACAAAACCATTTTAGCCAAAAATTGAGAAAATCCAGACCACTTTCAACCAAGTCATTTTTTTCCCTCTCTACCATCATCCTAGTAAAATTGATGGATTTTCCTCTATATGAATGGATTCTAGAACAAGTGACAAATATTTGCAGAAAGTGTGCAGATTCAACAGACTCGAGAATGGAAAGCAAAGCTAGGAGGATTATGATGATGGGCAAGATGTGGTTTGGATAGAATGGGAAGCAGTAAGGTGAGGGTTGGATGTCTAAGAAGCAGTCTCCAAATCTGGGTGGGAGTATTATAAAATGCAGATTTCTGTGCCCCACTCCCAGATACTCTGATTCAGAGGGAACAGAATAAAGCTTAAAATAAAAACAAGCAAACAAAATTTAGACCAAAATCAATTTCAAACAAAGAAACCCTGAAAGACTGCGACTTTTACTCCAACCCTTAGAAAACTGGGAGGTAGCATCACCTAACTTCTTCAGCCAGGAAGAATGAGAGGTAGGAATACTCCTTCCCACCCTCCACTCCCATCCTGAGCTGAATGGTAAGAGTCTCCAACACTGGCTCTTCTCAGTATGCAGCAGCTACGATCAGTACGGAAACGGTCATTTTCAGGGTTACGGAATCTCAATCTATCCCCTTCACATATATGAAAGAAAAACAGTTTTCTGTACTGGATATTTGCATTCACTCACACTGAGATGAAGCGGAAATGGTGGTTATTTCAGCCTTTCTTGGTTTCATGAAAGTAGCTCCTCAAAAATTCATTTTAAAAGGGGGAATCTGCAGGTTTAAGAAAAGGAAAACCATTGGCTCTCGACATCTTGACTTTGGGTTCTATTTGACATGGTGAAAAACTTTTTCCTCTCTAGTACTGCATGTTGACCTTTGGTGCCTTTTCTGCAGAGAGCAACATGAAGGACAGTCTGAACTATTCAGTTATGTCAAAATCAAATCCAAATACATAGTAGTATCAACTGACTATTGAAAGGAGGGAGTAAACCAAAATGTTTTGTGTAACAATTCAGCTACTTGTTTTTCAACATTTTTTTTAAATGCTAAAAAGCAAGTATTAAATTGACTTAAAAAAATACAATTTATGAGAAATACCCCAATTTCATAGATTCATAGCAGGAGGTGTCTTTGTTCATTTGTGACTCAGTGGGCTCTCATAGACAGCAGCTCTATCATCATACAGTCAACGGAATAGTGGTTACCAAAGGGGAAAGGGGATTTGGAGGAAGGTGAATTGAGTAAAGGGGAAATTAGACTTTGAGTAGTAAGCACACAGGAGAGTGTACGATATTGAATTATAATGTTGTACAACTGAAATTTATATGTTACCTCACTAAATTTCATTAAAATATATAGCAAGTTTTAATGTCATCTTACTGTTATAATCACTAGTATCAGCAGATATTGGAAATTATAATCCTGCATTCCTAAAATCTTTTGTATATAATCTATATTGTTTTTATATAAACACAGTCTTATTCATCATCTGTTTTTATTTTATAGTCATATCCCATGGTATTGCAGTATCGACCAAGAATTGATTTCGGTTAGACCAAGGGGCCTAGATCCCACTGAGATGAATCCTGCACTATTTGTTTACTCATCAACAGATTGCACAGCGAACAGTGTGTGGACTAGAGGGACACAACCAGATTTTCAGCATGCAAATAAGGCCATTGTCTGTCTCTAAATTGTCAGTTGCATTTATGTTGTTTCTATTAAGAGCAAACCAAGTGCCATTCTGCTACTGAACCATCTGCATAAGTTATTTGTGCTGTCTCACAGTGTACAATATAAGTGCTGGTTGAAATCAGTTAGGTGTGCAGCCATGATTCAGCCTTCTGCATATTTTGCTTGCCTGTTCCAAGATTGTTCTAATGTTTGATTACACTAGTAATATGGCTCAATCTTTGTGGTGTTACAGTTTTCACATACTGTTTTATTAATTCTTGTTTAAGTAGAGTATTGCACAAGAAACTAATAATTATTATATCTCAAAATTATTTTGTATGAGAAATATATTTAGAAAAGTGGTTTTTGAGCCACTGTCCTGTTCTCAGTAAGCTTTTCGTGTGCAAAAAAATAGTTCAAGTCCTTTAGGGGAAGAATTCCAATTACTCAACATTTAGAGCACATTGTAGGCATTTTAAGTCATCTTTCAGTGTAGTCTACCAATTGCACAAGGAGGACACGTTAGCCCTCCAGATTGAAAATGTATGTGACTTCTGCTAGAGAACTGAAGTTAGAGTCACAGCCATTCGAAATGTTGGCAGCTGATCACATTTACTTCTAACAAAGTTAATGTGTAAGTAAGGTTAATCTTTCATAATGCCTTATGACAAGCGGGTGCTGCTTCATGAAACGTCATTGTGTAACCCATTTTATGGATGCATCATTGTTGCTCACGTTTAATGAGTACTTTTGTTTCTCTTTTTAAGTTGGCCTTAGGTGTGTGACATTATGGCATGCAGAAGGTTATGATGATTTTAAATATTAGAATCTTTAGAGCAGATAACATTAGCTGTTTTACGGATTTCAAAAGTCTCAAAGCAACTGTAGATTAAAACTGTTAGTTACCTATCACATTTCCAAACCATTTGCATAAAATAGAATAAATACAGTGTAGTAGATAAATATGCTAACCAAAATTAATGGATTGAGGACATTTCATTTTAGATCCCGTAGCAATCAAGGGAAATAGGATTACTGTTCCGTACATAAGTTCATTAAGGTCAGAGCTATGATAATGTCCTTGATTTTGCAGTTTTGTTAAGTCTTCCGTTCGTTTTGAGATTAGTTTATAAGTCAGAGAAAGTCTTGTTAAATTATATGAAGAACTTCATTTTAAACATTTTAAAGTTTATAGTTTTCAAAAAATTTTGGAAATTGTTTTACTAATTGCTTTGAAACAGGTTACCCTCTGAAACTTAAGAAAAAGTCTTGAAAGTTAGTAAAAATATTTGTTTTAGAAATCTGACGAGCACAATCTGTGTGTTACACATAGTTTTTATACTGAATACATGGTAGATGTGCTACATTTTCCAGTAAAATGTATCACAAATTAATGCCTTCTGAATCTCAAAATGCTTCTTACAAATAAAACATTGTACAACTCTAAGAAACATATACAAAATACAGCTGAATCTTGATGCATTTCACAATATAAAAGGCTGAAATATAATTCTTTTACATATCTTTGTTTCAAATCAAAAAGTTTATATTAAAATTTTTTGCTGTATTTGTTTTGACTTTTGTGAAAAAGGTTATGACAATACTTTAATTTCATTGTTAGATTGTGTTTGTGCCAGGAAGGGCTCACAAGCAGAATTTAAAAGACAGATTTTTGTTAACTCTAAAAATTTTTGGAACAGACCATTACATTCAACCAAAAACTGAATTTACTCTTTAGTTACAGAAATTATTTTGTTATGCTATGAAATCCCTAAGAAATTTTAAAATTTATTATAAATTGTTTACATCTAGGTCAGTGATTAGTGTTTTACATATGGAAGTTAATTTTAATAGACTTAATGCAAAGTGCATTGAGAGTGCATTTTAAAAACCACAAATGAGACCTGGATGTTTTTGATTTTCCAGCCAAAATTAACAACCTTAAATGAGTTGTATGTACGTGATCTCTTTAAATTTGGCCTGTTGCTTCATCGTATGTAATTTCACTATTTTCCAAGGAAATATATAGGAAGCAATTAGAATTTAGAATAGTTTTAGTATATTATCATTTTTACTGAAATGTAATGGAATATGTGCCAAAATATGTGAAAACCTTACATAAAGAAGAACATCAGTTGTCATTTGGGGGAAGGTACACATTTTATGATGGTCCTGAGTAATACGGTATTACTATTGGAACCACAGACTTCTTCAACTGACCTCTTTTGATATATTCAACTATGATTTTCTAAGTATGGGACTACTTTCATATCTAGAAATACACTAAATCCCCAATTATTCCCTAAGTCAGGTTGTGGAATTTGCAAGAAACCAGGTATAGAAAAAATTTACAGACAACTTTTATGGCTAGTTTTATAAACTTAGGGTGCTAGTAAAATAAACTCTTTATATAAATGACTTTTAGGAATAATCACCTGAATTTGCAAAATTGGAGAATAAAACTAAGTTTTTTCTTTAATCGGTTGTTCCTTAAGTAACAAACTGAAACAACTTTACTTCCACAAAAGATTTTGTAATGTTTTCTCAACCTTAGACATATTTGTAAAAGGGTCAAGGAACCTTGGGTATAAAGGCCTGTGGTTTATAGACACTTTAACTGTAGTCACATCAGTTAAATTCAAAATATGGCCTTTTCTTTAGATTAACAAAATACTGTTAAGAAGTACAAAAAAGGCTCATTGATGAGGTAATAGTGCATTCAATCTGGGGTGCAAGGCACCTTGGATAATGTCCTTTACCAACTTTAAGTATATTATTTCTTTATTCATTGAAAAAATGTCCCATACTACTAATGCCACATTTTATAAATGTAATGAGTTTGCTCAACTATATTATATACTCTAATGTAATCTAAATTTAAATGATTCTTTAAGAGAAAAAAGATATGTTATATAATATTATAAACTGTTTAGCTTTATTGAAATATTTAAGAGAAAGTGCCTCATTGCAATGTGCATTTCTGTTTTAGATTTGCTGCATAAATTTTGAGTTATCTGTACCTGTCTCTTATGATTTCATATCTAAATAGGCGCTCATAAGTTAGAGTAATCTCTTTTTAAAAGATTTTCCTAAGAAAATACATATCACCAAAGATTTTACTGCTAATTAATAACCATGTTGGAGAGACAGTTTTAACAGTTTGGAGGTTGGCAATTTTTAGACTGCAGTTTAATTTTATGTTAGGCAATAACCTTAAGTAATTGCTAAAATGTCACCAAAGAAAGGTTTTAAACTGAATTTTCATGGTGAGATCTATCAAGTACAGCTATTTCTTGCAATAATCAGAGCACACTTTCTTTCAAATATGTCCCTTGTTTTTCCAGCACCATTTGACAGATCTTAGGAAATCCTCAAAGGTGAGAAAGATATAAATATAACAAATAGCCTCCCTCTGGATAAAAAGTGGGAGAAATCCATACTTTGAAAAGAAGGTTGAACTTGAAATTTTAAATTCTAATTTGAGAAGCTTTTTATTCCATGGAGGCAATATAGACAAAAATTATACTTATTTGGTTCCTGGGTCCTTAGTAACATGAGAAATTATCTCAAAGACAAACTTTGGTAAAAAGTTCTGACATGCTTGTAAAGCAAATAGTACATTCTGTTAGACTCACATATGTAAATGCTTTTTCTGTATTCAAAAGTAAAATTTTCATAAAGGCCTATTTTTTTTTTTTTTTAAGTAATAGCTCCTTGTCTTGTTTCTCAGTGATTGCTTTATTGTTATTAGAATTTAACCATACAGCCACATTTGGCAAACGTCTCAGATCAAGAGCATATCCATCAAGTTAAGCACTCTCCTTACACCGTTCTCTTTGGGAGTTCACACTGTGTGCCACCTCAGAGGTAAAGCTCACGTTATGAAGTCTTTCTGACACGCCGCTCAGTAAACCTCCTTGGACAGGCTTAAAATGGATCCATTCCAGTACATACTCTGGTTTATCTGGTATATCTGAATTTTCCAGCAAGCTAAGCATTACACATTAAGGTGTTGGTTGTGGGGGAATTGCAAAAACAAATGAGTTTGCCATAACTTTAATTTTCTGGATTAGAAACAAAAACACGAAATGCTATTATCAAGATATATATAGTGTGTGTATATATATATGTGTGTATATATATCCCTACAGTAAGGAACATAACACGTCTGCCAGGTCTGGCTTATGAAGAATGAAAAATGTTAAATATACTAGAGACTCCAAAACCCTTTGAAAGCACAAAATAACCACTTGACATATATATTCCAGTAAGTATTTTGGTAGAAAAACATCAGCTTGAAAGTTCATTAAAATGTACTTAAATATAGTTTTCATAAT